ACCCCACACGGCTCCGGAAGGTTCCAGGCGACATTGGGTTTTATGAATGCAAACCTAACTTTGGCTCCCTTGCAGGAGGTGGGCGGGGAGGAGGGGGGAGCAGGGGAGGGCTGAGGGCGCACGCCTGTCATCCTCCCTACTCAGGAGACTGAGGTCTGAGGATCTCGGTTCAAAGCCAGCCTGGGCAGGAAAGTCCGTGAGACTCTGATCTCCAATAAACCACTCAGAAAACCAGAAGTGGCACTGTGGCTCAAGTGGGAGAGCACCAGCCTTGAGCTGAAGAGCTGAGGGACAGCGCCCAGGCCCCGAGTTCAAGCCCCGGGTAGACAGGGCGCACAGGGTTGGCTGGTTCAACTGAGCTCCCCTCCCTGCTCCTATAAGCCCTGTCACAGGGCCCAGCCACCCCCCACCACCCCCCTCTGGGCCAGGCGCCTGGGCTGGGGACAGGCCGGCATCACCAAGGCCTACGGATGGGGGTGGAGGGGTGGGGGGTGGGGGCAGAGGAGGGAATGCAGGGGATGGCTGCTGAGCACTGAGGTTGCTGGGACCATGTGGCCTCCAGGACGCAGGCCCAGGGCGGCGGGGGGGCTCCCCACTGGGTTGAGGACAGCCGGTGGGTCAGAGGTCAGCAGAGGATGCCGGTTCCTATTTATGGGATTTGTGAACTGGCACGGGTTTCATTCACCGTGGGATCATGAGTGATTTTTTTTAAAGTTGTCTTTCAGTAGCTATACAAAGGAGTTTCAATTCAATGTATCAAAAAAGAATTTTTGGGTGTCGGTTGTGGGGCTTGAACTCGGGGCCTGGGCGCTGGCCCTCAGCTCTTTCACTCAAGGCTGGCGCTCTACCACTTGAGCCACAGCGCCACTTCCGGTTTTCTGAGTGGTTTATGGGAGATCAGAGTCTCACGGACTTTCCTGCCCAGGCTGGCTTTGAACCACGGTCCTCAGATCTCAGCCTCCTGAGTCGCTGGGATGACAGGCGTGCGCTTCGAGCACCCAGCTCAGTTTGTTTTGCTAGGCGCCGCAGTGTCAGTGGTAGGGTGTGAGGTTACTGCAGGGGACCCAACCATTCCCGGCAGGGGGGGGGCTCTGGGGGGGTTTTGTTGTCCCTCCCCTCCCCTCCCCAACCCCAGGCAACGCTACCCCGCTCATCTGGAATGAATGCCTGCCGGAGCGGACACGGAGCCCCAGAGCTGCAGACAGATGGTGTTTGCTCATCCCTCAAACAGCTGTGAGCCTCGGCGCCCGTGCAGGCCTGTGCGCGGCCCCTTGCTGGCTGATAGCAACAGGGGCATCGATTTTACTTGTGCCAGTCCTGGGGCTTGAACTCAGGGCCTGGGCGCTGGCCCTGAGCTTCTTTGGCTCAAGGCTAAAGCTCGACCACTCGAGCCACAGGAGGCCACTTTGGGCTTGTTCTGAGTAGTTTATTAAAGATGAGAGTCTCACGGCTTTCCTGCCGGGGCTGGCTTTGAATCACGATCCTCAGGTCGCAGCCTCCCGAGTAGCTGGGACTGTAGGCAGGAGCACCAGCGCCCGGCTGTCTTTGCCTCTTGAGCGAGTCGGAGCTCAGCGCAGGAAGGTCGATACCTTGCCTTCTGTCACGCGTGATCTGAATCTGTTTCCCCGGTCTGTCACTTGCCTTTTGACGTATTAGAGTGTCTTTTCCAGAAAAGACGTGATCATTGTATCTAGTGAGAGAGATACGCTTTCCTTCTTTGTGCCTGGCTTGGCCTTGGATACCGAGGTCTTCCTGTCTGTACCCCACCCCCACCCCCACCCCAGCCGGTATGACATATTCCTGCCTGTTGGTTGAGATGCGGGTTTTGCTAACATTTTCGGGGGCCTGGGCTAGCCTTGAACTATGATCTTCAGACTGCAGGCACGCGCCACCAAGCGTAGCGCATTCTTCCTTCCTTCTTTAGGGCTTCTCAGTTTCCTGCTTTGTTTTTCAATAAGAACAGTCTAAGCTACGTACCTGTTTTCTCTGAGTTTTATTTTCTGGACTGGGGATTGAACTTGGGACCTCATACACACCTGCTACGCATCCGTTCTACCACTTGAGCCACACCAGCTCCTTTCTGAAGGTTTTGGTGTGTTTGTTTTTTTACATTTCTTAGCATCAGTTAGCTGTATAAGATTAATCCTCCTCCTCCCCCTCTTCCCCCTTTTCCTCCTCCTTCTCCTCCCCCTCTTCCTCCTTTTCCTCCCCCTCCTCCCCCTCTTCCTCTTCTGCGTCTTCCCTCTTGTGCCTGTCGTAGGGCTTGAACTCACGGCCTGGACTCTCCCTGATCTTTTTCACTGTAGGCTAGTGCTCTACCACTAGATTTACAGCAGTACTTTTGGCTTTTGGGTGGTTCACTGGTGATAAGAGTCTCACAGACTTTCCTGCCTGAGGAGGCTTCGAACTGTGATCCTCAGCTCTCTGCCTCCTGGATAGCAGGGATTACAGGCATGAGCACCAGTACCGGGCTTTGAGTGGGCTTCTGTCTAAGTCTAGCCCGTCCCTCCCCGACTCCCCACCGTGCCTTGATGCTGGTCTGCACGCCTCTTCTTTGCCCAAGATGGCCTGAAAGACGTGTGTCCGAGGGTGCGCGTCCTGGCACGCCTGGCTCTGCTTCTCGGGCATGGCGTGGGGAGGAGACAGCTAGGGTAAAGACAGAGGGAGGAATGGAAGGTTCCAGAGAGGGGTCTGCACAGCCATGGGCGGAGGAGGACAGAGAAGGAAGGCCGGGGGGTCTCTGGGAGGGAGGCATGGGGTGCGGAAAGACGAGAAGGTCCAGCGGGGGTGGCCGGGGCTTCGGGAGGGGGCCTGAGTGCCAGCCAGAGCAGGCCCCGTCAGTCCCACTGATTATCCCTCTCTGTGTGCCCGCAGGAATGAGACAGTGCTGCACCAGTTCTGCTGCCCAGCCGCGGACGCCGAGCAGAAGCCCGCCTGCTCCGACCCCGCCGCCCACAGGTGGGAATGGGCGGCCTTTGCTGCTGCCCTCCCCTCCGTGCGTGTGTGTGTGTGTGTGTGTGTGTGTGTGTGTGTGTCCCTGCCTCCTCTCTCCAGCCCCAGGGGGCCACTTCCAAGGTCAAGGTCATTCCAACACTCACCCTAGGCGTGAGATGTCACGGCTGGAATTGAGTCGCGTGTCACTTCCCGCGGCGGTTGACGCGACCCCGAGAGCACTGGGGCCTGGGCTTCCTTTTCAAGCAAACACCCCCGTTTCTCCTTCTGGGGGGGCAAAGAGATCAAGGGCCCCCCCACACCTGGGGAGGGGGGGCACCGCTGGCCAGAGCCTGTGGCACTGCCATGCCCAGCCTTCGTTTCCTCTGGGCCTCCGCCCCCTCCCTTGCCTCCATTTCCCTGCTTTCTCATGTCCCTGCCCTTGGGAAATGTGTCCCGCCCACCCTCCAGCAGGAGACGGAGCCCAACGAGTTCCCGGGCACCTGGGGCCTCAGTTTCCCTTCCTCACGGTCCTGTGTGAGAAGAGAGCGGGGGAGGGGACACCCAGGGGCTTGTGTGTGCAGATGTGGAGATCTGGAGAGTCGATCATCTTCCCCCTCTATTCAGAGGAGGAGGCGGGAGGAAGTTGGGCCCCAAAGAGGGGGTACACCCTGGGAGCCCTTAAGTCCAGGGTGGAGGGAGAGGTAGGAGCTCCCTGAGGGCGGAAGGGAAAAGGGCGGGACGTATGCCCATACCTGCCCCAGCCGTGGGGAGCTGGGACAGGCAGACACAGGGTGCAGCTGACTCGGGGGTACCTAATGCTGGCTGGAGGGTCTCCCAAGTGAGTCACCCAGAGACTAAAGGAGGAGAGGGGGAACGGACGGGTGTGGGGGAGGGAAAGCCCCTTCAGGGCCCTAGCGCCCCCCCCAATGTAACTAAGATACCTGTGAGCCCCTCCCTGCAGTGCGGAAGCTTCTAGAAGCTCAGGCAGAGGCAGCTGGGGTGGGGTGGGGGAAATGGGGACCCCCAAGATGGCTCAGTGTGGCCACCGCTGTCTGTGATTCCCAGCTCTTCCCAGCTGTCTGTCTGTCTGGCATCCTCATGTAGGCTGTGGGTCTGACGTCAGGTCTCTCGGGGCTCCCGATGACCTGGCTGTGTGGGGCGGTTGGTCAGTCTGTCTGTCTGTCTGGTCTTGGCTT